CCTGTGTGCTAGTTTCATCTCAGTTGGCAATTGAGCGAAGCAATTTTTTTGAGGGTGTTTACAGCAACCTTTCAGGAGGACGTGGTCTGTCATACCAAATCGGGATAGATGCAATCCACAGGGTCACATCCTCTGTGAAAACAAAAGAAAACCCTCTCCAAAGCATCATATCCTTAGACCCAAATTTTGAAATCGTGATACCCTTATATCCATTCTGGTTTAGCTTGGCAGCCCATGTAATGAAATGTCTCTCTGTACTTAGCTTCTTCACAGTCAAAAATTTTAAAGAAAACACAATGTACATAATCCAGACTCTCTGTGAATTTTCCATTTTTACGTGGCTTATTTTTCTTTATTTCTCTTAATCTATAACTATCTGTGCTTCTGTACTCTGTCTCTTTAAAGACTTTACCCTTTTTCTTTTTAAGACATTAACTTTATTCTTTATATTCTTTTTCTTCTCTCTCCCAAGCCTATGTACATTCATCCAACAGTGTCTGAATCTGTTTTACTGTGAATCTGTAATTTTTTTACTATCCAGGAGCATTTTTTAAAATGTTAAGCACTTCTTAAAAACTTAAGCTGCACCATGTACAGGTAATACGGTACTGCCTGTGTCCTGCCCAGTTAAACCTTAAGTGTGCTGATATTATGGCAATTACGGTAGTTCCTGCCTGAGGTCAGCACAGTTCAGCATGGAGCAGCTGCTCCTGCCTCAGAGCCATTTGGTGCCCCTGAACCATTCACAGTTTCAGGCACACAGCAAGTCCACATTGGAGCCGCACTCAGCAGTTTAACTCCGAGACTGAGCGTGCAGCACAGAAACTCTTTTCATCCAAGTTACAGCCAAATCTGACACGCAGAGCACTGCGCAGTCTGAAAACGCGTCTCTGTATGGTGGCAGGAATCCGCCATGCTCTTCCGCCTGCCTAAGCCTGATTCTGCCTTCTGCCTAGGTGCAGGCGGGGAGCGCTGAGCCATCGGCAGGTCTCAGAGCACTTTCCTCCAATCCCAAGCGGGAACACAAACATCCAGTCCCATAAAAGCCTTGAAATGCTTTAAATCCAGAGTTCACGCTGGCAGCCCCAGGAAGCCGCACAGCTTTAAAATGACGCAGCTTTTTTTCTGCTGCTGTTGCTGAATCAGGAAATTTCTCTACAGCACGCCACCAGCAAACAGCAAAAATCTCTGTTAAACTCTCTCTCTCCCTTATTTTTAAGCCTTATCAGGTTTTTAAGTGGATTTAGCCCCATGTTGGGTGCCATCTGTTGAAATAGGAGCAGCGGCAGGGCTGCATCCCCGGCACCCGGCCGCCCGCATGGCTAGCTCATGCCCGAAATAATCACACGGAAAATGCATTCTTTCAAACACTGCCTGGCCCAGCTAGTTCCAGTTTCTTATTGGCTAGCTCTTTCATATTGTTCTAACCCATTTCTAATATTCTGTGTAGCCCACGAGCTGGCTTACCAGGGAGGATCTTAACCTGCGTCTGTCTGGAGCGGGAGAATCATGGCGACTCCTCCTCTAACCTTCTTTCTCCCAGAATTCTCTTCTGTATACTCCGCCTACCTAATTTTCTATCCAATAAAATGAGCCAAGGCAGTTTCTTTATTAATAAGAAACCATTCCCACATCAATGTAAGATCATTTTACATCTTCTCTGGTGTTGAGTACAATCAAACTTCATCTTGGAAGCTTCCAGAGGAGGGCTCCATTTTACACTCTCAGGCAGATCTGGTCAGCTCCATGCAGCACCCCCCACCCCAAACATTTCCAAAAGAGATCGAAAGCCAAAGTCACTGGCTGTGTATAGCGCTCTTGGTGGCTGCCCAAACACTACACACTCTAGGCTCTTGTTAAGAGGGAAAGGGTTGGGTTCCCATCCGAGTTCATGAACACTGAGTGCAGCAGCAGCCAGGTTCTCCAGCATTTGTAGGATAGCATGGATTTGCCATTAAGTAAAATAAATATACAACGTGATCCCCAGACACTACTTCTGCGTGGTCTCGGGAATATCCAAAGAGCTAAAAATAGATTCCTAACTATACTCAGATTGCTTACCTGGGCATGGAGTCACATTCATTTCAGTCTCAACTGAGAGTTTGAAGCCAGCCTGGAGTACATAATGAGCTCCTGTCTTATAAGATGAAACAACACCCCACAAACTAGCACTTGCTTGTCCTTTGTAGCCACAAGAATCTTCATGTCCTAAGGTTTCTTTAAGGAATAACTTGCCATCTGAGGAGGGTAGGGGGTCCTAGGTGCCCACTAGGAGGTGCAGAGTAAGCAGGTATTGCCACTTAAGAAAGGTAGGGGTCCCAAGTGCCCATTAGGAGATGTGTAATAAGCAGGTATTGCCATCTAAGGGGGCTTGGTGTCCCTGATACCCATTAGGAGGTACACAATAACTTTTAACTTATTCTCCGTTATGAAAGCACCTGTCTTGTACAGGAACCCACCCATTCCTGCCCTCATAAAGGGTTGTTGTTGTTGTATCAGGATTAGAAGGAGACATGCTGTGTTCTGAGGTGGAATCAAACAAGAACTTGGCCTTTTGTCAAAAGTACACAAGCAAATCTGGGTGGGGCTGGCAAGATGGGGCTGGCAAGGTGGGGCTGGCCTCCGAGTCTGATAAGTGGGCATAGGGGCTGGCCTCCGAGTCTGATAAGTAGGCATAGGGGCTGGCCTCCGAGTCTGATGCCCGAGTGTGATCCCCAGGACCACACACGGTAGGAGGAGAGAACCAATTCCCACAAGGTGTCCTTTGACGTGGAGAGAGAGAGAGAGAGAGAGAGAGAGAGAGAGAGAGAGAGAGAGAGAGAGAGAGAGAGAGAGAGAGAGAGAGGAAATTTAACTTTAAAATATTTTTAAAAAGCAAACTTGTGTTCTGGCTTGAACAGGATTTCTTGGATATTGTTTTTCTTCCTCTTTTTTACCCGCACAGCTTGCTCCCATTTCTTCCTCAGGTACTTGTCCTGAGGCTAACCCCCAGTGGATACTGAATGGATATGACCCCATCAAGTACACATGTGTACATTCTCACACACATGCTTACACATATTCCACACACACGCATGCCACACACACACCGACACATACATGCTCGCCACACACACACACTTCACACATGCTACACACACACTATATACACTACACAACACACTACACACATACACTATATATAAACACCTCATATACACACACACTCCACCCACACACATACTCCACATATGTGCACACACACTCCACACACACTCCACACACACACTCCACACACACATACACACTCCACACACACACTCCACACACACACACAAACACACACACACACACTCTATGCACACCTGCATGTCCATGGATATAAACAAAGAAAATGCCCAGAGGACATAGACAACCCAACCCTGAGAACTAAAAGTCACTAGAGAAGAGCCCGAGGCACAGAGCTGCTCAGTGAATGTAATTGCATCTGTAACATTCAGGTTTTTTGCACAGACCAACCAGACACAAAATTAAATACATTTTTTATTGAAAACTTTCAAGGGCCTGTCTTAAAAGTTTTCACTTGGAGTTCAAAAAGAGAAGCCACAATGAGCGTAGGACAAAAGTCTAATGGCTGTAGGGAAAAAACAAACTTCTCTCAAATGTTCTTTCTAGTTATGTGCTCTTTATTTCTCTCTCTTCATTCCACTACCTCCACCTTAATTCTTCTGTCCTAATTGTTTATAATTTCTTTGCTCTGATTCTCTGTCTCAATTCCAATTCTCTGTTTCAATTCTTTCTGTTCTACTTATTTTACGTTCTTTCTTCTCCTCCCCCTCCTCTCTCCTCTCTTCCTTCTTTCCTCCTTCTCCTCTTCTCCTTCTCTTCTTCCTCTCCTTCTTATTTCTTCTCAATCTATTTCTTCAGCTGTAACAAATTCCATGCATATATATATATATATATATATGTATATACATATGTATATATGCTTTCATTAGCAACTTGTTAGTAATATAAAATACTACAAGGCAAATTCTTAGGACACAGGCAGTCTTTAAAGATATGTAGCAAAATTTATCAGCTAGTTTGTAGCTAACAGCAGCTTCAGCACTGAGGAGGTCCCAGAGATCTTTTAAAGAGGCTGCTACAAGTTACAAAGGAAGAAAACTACACCATTGAGAGAGCCAAGGAAAAGGCAAAGAATATGTATATTATTTTACATTTCGTAAGTGTGATTAATAATATCTGGACCTAGTCAGTTAGGTGCTATTGGTCTCTTGAAGGACTAAGACAGGACGAGAACAAACACCTCCAATACCACCCTGATTCATCAGAAATCCTCTGAAGGCTTAGGGCCTACAAGGCCAGGCGCCTGCAATTTCATACGTAACATCTGTGGAAGTTCCTTTTGTGGTCTGTCCAGAAGGACACATGTCTGGCCAACTTGCTCTGTCTGTAAGGCTAGTGGTAGAGAACAGGCTTCTAAGTTTCTCACCATGATGTGGAGAACACAGTGTAGAGAGAAGCTGTCCTTTTGACCACATCCACAAATAAGACTGAGATGTAATCATGAGATTACGTGTACATATTACATGGAAATACACGACAATGGGGAGCTATCACAACTGTTATTGCACAAGCGAAATTACAGATGAAAGCCACAGTTTCCGGAGTCAGTGGCCTTGCCAGCTCTGCCAGGCAGGGCTCCTCTATCTGAGGATAATTTCTCGGGTGGGTTGACACCTGAATTATCAATTGCTATAAGCTGTAATTGCGCCATGGCCCACAATAGCTCGTGATAAACACTCCTGACAATTTTTCAGGTGAAAAAAAAATTTTTTTCAGAAGAAAACCAGTGCTTAGAGCCCAAAGCACAAAAGCCCACTAGCCCACTTGAGCAGCCTCTAGTCAGAATGAGTTCTTCAAATAAGAGCAGCAAGCCCTCAAAGCCCACCCCCAGAAGTCCAGTCCGTTGTCTCTCACACACACACACACTGTCTCCTTCTCTCTGTGCCACGCAGCCCCTGAAGAGCCAGCAGTCAGCGGGCAGCATGGAGGACAGTCCTCATCTGACACATCCCAAGAAGTTTCTGAGGAATGGATCCTCGATTTCAGACTGTGAGATCCTTCCCTCCAGGACTCTCCAGAGGCAGGTCCCTGGCAAATGAACACCAAGTCCGGACGCAGGAAATCAGAGTGGCACAGACATGCCCACCAAAGTCACTGGCTGCTGAAAAACAAGAAAATGGTGTCTCGCTGTCTCAGTTTGGCAAACTCTGCGTCCATTCCTCTTCTGTGGGGATGAACTTCAGAAACCTCACAATTTTTCATGGGGGTGGGGGTCTGGATTTGAGGGGAGCCAGTGGTTTCCAAGGAGAGCAGTGAATGCTGGTGTTTACAAAATAGAATCCAAACCTTGTAGCATGTTTAAAGTTGTACAGCAACTTGAATTCAGAGATTTATTTTTCCCATGCTGTAGGTTCTTACCACTTCCCTCAGCAACCCCAAAGCTCACGCAAGCCTTCTGGACTTCTGCCCCATGTTTAATGTTTCCAATAGTCCCTCTTCTGCTTCTATCTGCACCGATCACTCAGAGCCTGAGAATGAGCCCAGATCCTAGGCATATGTGCACCCTCTCCACCCCAACTGTGGGAATAAACTGGTTATTTTATGGAACGTGGCTTTCTTTCAAACCTATTTCCTTTAGAAATCTCAGGCAAGAGCTTTGACTTTCCTGGCTGCTACTTGGAAGAGTCACACCCTTGCATTTTTTTCCTATCCGATGTCAACCACTAAGGTATGAATGCCCTGGCTTCATGATGCCATTACCCCAGGTGCCCGAGCATGCCAGCATAGGGATTTTGCAGTGTGGAAAGCATGGGCCACGGGTGGTACACAAGGTGATCTCTAATTTATAAATACAATAGCAAATAACACTGGATTTCAAAGAATGCTTCCTGCTTTCTCTTTTCTCATTCCTGGTCGCTGCAAGGAGAATCTCTCTCTCAGGAACCTTCACACCTTCCTGCCAGAACAGTCATTGCCCAGCACTGCAAAGCATCAGCAGCCTTCAGGTCCAGTCTCAGGCTAGACAGAACTCGGTGATGTTATTAGCGTCCACGCGTGGTTCGTCACGGACTGATGCTCTGCATTATGTAAGTAAGTGGACTCAGAGGTAGACACCGAGTGCTTAACCTAACAGGTGATATTCATGGCAAAAAAAAAAAAATCACCTCCAGAATTAATGTCGGAAACACAGTGACAGTAAGCATGAGCAAGGCAAAGTACCCTGTTCTAACTGCAGGAACAAGTGATGGAGAGTCCAAACGTCTGTTTCAATGTCTTTCAGGAGGAATGGGTTGTCCCAGGCAACTCAGGCTGGCCTTGAATTGCTATGTAGCCAATGATGACCTGCCTTCTGAGTGCCAGGCTTAGGGGCTTCTTCGGCCATGCCCGGTCACTCTGCATTTCCTTATTTGACACTAGCTACGCACGTTGATTTTAGGCAAGTTTCTTCCTCTGAAGAATGGTGATAAGAACGGCTACCTCCTTACCTCATACTGCTACGAAAGTTAATTGCTGTAATAGATGTGCCCCTGGGGGGAAGCTCTGTGCACTAAACAGATGTGGAGCATGGTAATCGTGGAAACACTAGACCCTAGCAACAAAAAGAAAACTTGACGGGCATGAGAATCTGCCGGCCATTTCACCCAGGTGTGTCCTGAGCCAGCCCTTGTCCCAGAAGGGAGTCTCGGTGTCCAGGGACACCAGCGCCATTCCAGCCTATCAGGTCCTGTTTCTCACATCTTGTTGTTTGAGTATGTTTGGGTCTCTGGTCTCTTTTGCCCAGTGGAAAGTGTTGCTGAGAGCGCAGAATAAAAATGGCTTTAAGTAAGCCCATTTACCGTGCTGTATGAGTCTGTTTTTTTTGCTGTGTTCACCCCTCTAGAAACTTCCATAATCAAAATGTTGCTCATCCACCTCAGCTTTTTTTCCCCAGAGAAGACCATAGAAAGGGCAGAGCTGGGGCTAGAGAGTCCCCCATTGCTAAGCTAACTTATATCTGACCTGCGAGGCATTTAAAACATTAGTTCAGCTAAAGTCAAAATAAGATGATACTCTTATCAATGGGATCTACAGGGTTAAGAGGGGCTCTGAGTTTTGTTGGCCCCTAGGGCCCCAATATGGGACAGTTCTCTTCCTTAGAGCATTTTATAACATCTGGACTGGCCCTCTCCCCACAGTAAATCTCCACTGTCAACTTGTCAACCAACCACAAGAGAATCAAGACTTGAGGGATTATCTTTATTAGGTTAACTGAGATGGGAAGACACACCCACTGTGGGCGGCACCATTCCTTGGGCAGGGTCCTGGAGTGAATGAAAAGGTGAGCAGAAGGGAGAAGGGAGCTGAGCATGCAAGCGAGCGCGCGCGCGCGCGCGCACACACACACACACACACACACATACACACACACTCCTTACTTCCTGAGGAAGGAATGTAACCAGCTTCCCCTCCTCCGGATCCAGATGCTGTGACTTCCTTACTTTGAGGGACTGTGCCCTCCAACTGGGAGCCAAGAACAAAGCCTTTCTCCCAGGTGTCTTCTGTGGGGGATTTCACAACAGGAAAAGGAAGTGGGATGTCCTCGCTCCTAGCACATCATTCAGTGAGATGAGCGGCTGAAGCACAAAGTGGGGTTTACTGTTCATGTGACTGCAAAACTCAAGGGAGAATGTTGAGGAAGACTAGATAATGGTGTGCTGGGTTGCTGGAAACATTCCCCGACATTTCTCATCCCCGGCTTGTGTTTGTTATAGGTTCATAGCAATGAGCTTGCGGCCCACAGCTTTGGACTTTCCCCGACTGTCTTACCACCACCCATGGAGCTAAAGCGTTGGCTTCCATGGTTACTGGGTGGGAGGAGAATTAACTGTACAAGATAATGTACAATTGGTCAGGAACAAAAACAAACAAAAAGTCCATAGACCAGCCAACCATCATCAAGCAGGTGTGGCCAATACAAACTGACTGCAGCTAGGAGTATGTGTGCCTCTCTCCCCTCCCCCCAGCTTTTGGAACACCAAGGCTGAGTGTGAGGTTAGTGCCAGACAATCTTCACAGATGGAGGGTGTGGAAAAGGTGACTCCCCAGAGAAAAACCAGAGAGCATTTACCAGAAGGAGAGACAGATGCTGGGCGGAAGAACTCAAACTCTGTCCACACCGGGCCTTCTGTTCTAACTACACCTTCCAAGAGCAGAGTAATCAAACAGCTTTCAAAGCCATTTCCCAACTCTGCAGACTCTCCTCTCATCCAGCCCGCATTCCCTGGGCACCTACTCAAGCACGGAAACGGGACTCAGCTTTGAAATTCAAATCCCACTAAGGGAGAACCCAGGAAGTCTGCTCACCCCTTGAGGGACAGAGGCAAATGCAAGTGTAGAAGGAGCCATGGAGGGGGCACACAAAGGGGTCCGCAGATGGGCGAGCTGGCTGCTTGGGAGGGGCTGGCGGTTCAGGGAGCACAGTTCCTCTGTGCATGACTCGCTCGCTCGCTCACTTGCTCAGGCTGATGTCTTGAGGCGGCCCTGTCCCTACCCACAAGTTATGGGCAGAAGCAGATGCAGACATAAAAATCGCTGGCCTCAGCTCCTGGATCAGCAAATTAGCTCTGGCAAACGGCAGGACAGCTGCAATCAGCAAAACAGCTCCCTGCACGAATCTTGATATGTAACCCTAGACCCAGGCTTCTAAATATAAGAGACGGTTTAGGGCTACCAACTACTTCCCCTGATCTAAAATAGCATCCATATTCATGGTTTACTACCAATCCTGAAAAAAAAAATCCAAGCCGGGCGGTGGTGGCGCACGCCTTTAATCCCAGCAGGGAGGCAGAGGCAGGCAGACCTCTGTGAGTTCGAGACCAGCCTGGTCTACAAGAGCTAGTTCCAAGACAGGCTCCAAAACCTCAGAGAAACCCTGTCTCGAACCCCCCCCCCAAAAAAAAATCCATATTCCTCTCCTTTTTAGGCCCTAGGGTTACTCTAAAAGTGGATGCCTGAGTCTCAACACTTCTGAACACAGAATTATAGATACCATTCAAGCGCTACTTAGCATCACAGGAAAGTCTCAGGCAGAAGGAACCCCCTCCCAAACACCGGTTGTCTCTTATCGGAGGTGAGGAGAAGCAAGTGTCCGAGTCTGTACCTGTTTCCAAAGGCAGACGAGTGTGCAGTCAAGCTGACGGTAACTGGGCCACATGTTCTCACCGTGTCTAGGCGGATCCCAGTCCACACCCACACAGCAGGCCACACATGAGACCCAGCAATTCCACTTTTCCCAAGGAGGCTGCTCCTGATGCTGCCCCAAAGTGCTCACTACCGGGGGTGGGGGTGGGGGTGGGGGTGACACAGAATTACGGAAACAGGAAAAGCTGTTTGACTGCCTAGAAGGGTAACAAATGGCCTGATGGACAGCATGGAAGAGGACCTCGCACAAATCGCTACACATAAAAGAATAAAAGAGAAGATAAAATTCTGATGTCTAAAAAAAAAAAAAACCCTAAACTGGGTGGGTGGTGGTGGCGCACGCCTTTAATCCCAGCACTCAGGAGGCAGAGGCAGGTGGATCTCTGTAAATTCAAGACCATCCTGGTCTACGAAGCAAAGTTTCAGGACAGCCAGAGCTGTAACACGAAGAAACCCTGTCTTGGGGGGGGGGAGGCGGGGGAGTCCCTTTAAAAAAAAATTCTGACATCCATCAAAACAATTTACTTCTTGTGGTGTTGCAAATCCCAAACTATCCCAGCACTCAGGAGTCAGACGCAGGTAGATCTAAGATCCAGGCCAGCTTGGGTCACACAGTGAGACCCTGTCTCAAATAAATAAAAATAAATTAATACACAAATAAACTCCAAGCTTTGATGCTGATCTTCACTGCCATTTAGAATCACGCAAGACTGGGGAGCCGGCCATTTGGGGTGTCAGGAGAGTGTTTCCGTGTTCCCAGAGCTGACAGGAGCAAGCTCACCTGAGTGTGAGTGACATCATCCCATAAGGTGGTCCCTCCTCAGCCATGAAGTGAGCAAGCAGCTCCCCTCCGACGTGCTCCTGTCATCATGACTTTGTGCCCAAGTCTCCAAAGCCAAACAATCATGCTGTGAACTCTTCAAATGAACCCACCTCCTTAGGTGGTTTCTATCCAGTATTTTTTTTCTTTTTTTTTCTTTTTTTTTTTTTGGCCACAGTAACAAGAAAACTAACCAAAAGGCAGTGACTCAACCCAAACTTATTATCCTTTGATTCTGGATATCAGGAGTCTGAAGTGGTCTCACTGGGCCCAAATCAAAATGTCCCCAAGGTAGGATTCCTGCTGTTGCCGCCTTGGGTGGGTCACTAGTCTAGGGGTTGTAACCCACCCTGCAGCTAGTTATTCCAGGGTCTCGGAGGGGCGCTACCTGGAAGGGAATGAGCTAGGACAGAAGAAGGAGGCCAAGCAGATTTGTCAAACCCCCTTTATTAGGATCATGGTTGCTGTTTATATAGCCCCTGAAGGGTAGGGAAACTGGATTCTTTCCGCGTGTTCCCGGTCACATAGGCCAGGTTACATTCGGACAGGTAGGCCAAGAAG